CCCCCCCCTCCTATGTGACCCCGGTTGGGTCGTCTAGCTAGTAGAAGTGGAGGATAGGGGCCAGAGGGGCAGACGAGAGAGTCCAATGATGGGAGAAAAAACAAAAACAAAACAAAAAAACTCAGGTCAAGGCGAGCAAGCGAGAAGCAGCAAGATGCCGAGAGCATTTCCTACTTCCTGGATAGCGTCAGCCAAGTTGTTGAAAGGAGAAGCCATCACGTCTCGGGCATCGAGGCTGCAGCAGCAGGTGTTGTTTGTTGTTGTTGTTTCTCACATTAGCTCTAAAAAAGAAAGATTGGGAGCCCGTGATCTCAAAACCCGGCATACACGACCCCACGAAGAAACAGAAAAAAATAGGGTACAAAAACCACTCGGAAGAGAAACAAAATGATAGAAAGACCAGCTACCGCACCAAACGAGAAAGAGCGTCGAGGAGACCGATCAAAATAAAATAAAAGGAGAACGGGGAACGCTTCCCACACCCGCCTACAACGCCGGAGGGTTCCGTGCCGGGTTCCCGCCGATCAGGCATCCCCCGCCCTGCACCACACCCCAGGGGGTGCAGCAAGACGGAGGGCGAAAAAACAAACACATATATATTCCCACAAAAAAAATAAAAAATCGAAGGACAACGTACACCAGTACCAGGTACTACAGCAGTGCAGTATGCACCAGCGCATTAGTGTAGGGTAGGCACCGCACCAAAGAGGCAGCAGAGGTGGCAGGCAGCCAGCAAAGGAAAAAACAAAAATAACAAGGAGCTCGAGGTATCGTCCAAGATCATCGTAGAGAGGGCATGGAGAACAAGAAAGAAAGAAAGAAGAAAAGCACAAAGAGAGGCCGGAGGCAATACTAAGAGCATACAGCTTACGGCAGGGAAAAGGGAACACAGGGTGCGACAACATCATCAGTTGGGTACGTCGTTCGCCGCAAGCGCGGCCTTGGCCGCCCTACTCGCTTCTACAGCAGTGTCCGGTCGCCGTTTCTTCCCCCCCCCCGCCGCTTCCCCGATTCTCTTTCTCTTCGGGCCCGGGGCGGCCGTGCTCTCCGTCTCTGCTTCCTCCGCGCGCTGGCGCTGGCGCTTCGCGGATGCTTCCGCCTCCTGTCTGTGCCATTTCCTCATGAACCATGCCGCCCCGTCCTCGATCTTGTCGTACCACGCCTCCTGGTCCTTGGCGCTCTCTTTCCATCTCCCCCCCTCCTTCTCCTCTTTCATGCCAAACGCCACGAGGTCCTCTCCTAGGCGATACACCCAGTCGCTCTCCTGCCCGCCCCGGTATCCGGTACCCCCCGCCATCGCTCCCAGCAGCATGCGCTTGGGGAGGCGGTTGTCCTCCATGCGCATAACGAAGCCCGCAAAACACAGCCTCCGTTTGCGCACGGTGGCCTCGATGGTTTCCTCGCAGCCTGCCTGGATGAGGGCCTGGGCATAGGACAGGGGGCGGTCGGAGCGTTTCCGCTTGCTCCAGCCGATGCACCGTGTGAGGAACTGGCGGTGGGTCCCATTGAGCTTCGTGTAGTGCTCCGCTGTTAGGCTCCACGAGGCGCACCCATACAGGAGAGTCTCCACCACTTCAGCCTGGAGAAGCCGGATCTTGAGCTGGCGGTCGGCCCGTCGCCTGTCGTACATCGAAGCACTGTTCCGGCGGTAGCACTTCCACGCTCGGCAGCTGCGGCTCGTGATCTCCCGGTCGGCCTTCCCGTCCGCGGAGATGGTACGTCCGAGGTACACAAACCGATCTGTCTGCTTGTACGTCTGGCCAGCGGCGCTGACCGCGAACGGGCGTTCCCCCAGCCCTTTCGGTAGCATGCACATGATCTCCGTCTTTGGCTCCGATACCATCAGTCCGAACAGGCCGGCCACGCGCACGATGATGGACATCATCTTTTCGAGGCTCTCCGGCGTGAGCGAGACGATGGCCGCGTCGTCAGCGTAGAGCATGTCCCACAGGGCCTCTGCGACCGTCACCATCATCGCCTTCTTCCCCGCCGACCTGCCCCTCTTGCCCGTGCACTCCACTCGTGTTGCGATCTTGATCATATCCGCCGTCACCTTGGGGTCCTTGTCGAACTCGGTCACTGCGACCATGCGCATCGCGGCAGAGAACAAGTTGAACAGCAGCGGGGCCAGGTTGCACCCCTGTCGGAGACCTTGGCCGACGTCAAACCATTCCGAGTACTGCCCGTCGTCCGTTCGAACCCGCGCCCTCATGCCCTCGTGGAAGTGGCGAATGACCGCCAGCATCTTCGGGGTGTGTGAGAAGCTTGTTATTGTCTCTCTCGCCATTTGTCTACATACGTGTCCGCCTGGTGTGTCCGCCTGGTGTGTGCGTGTGTCGCTCTTTTCCCCTCTCTCTCGTCTCGCCGCACTCGATCGCACCCACCCGCAATACCACCCCAATTCTTCGTCTCGCACTTCAAGTCGAAGCATGTGTCAGGTGGTATTAATGATTCAAAAAGCTGATACCCACATGTATGTGTGCGTCCCTATTCTTGTATCAGGACCTCCGACTCTGTAGCACACATTTCAAAGATGCTGGTGCCACCGACGGTGCTGCTGTTTGTTACCCACTGGGGTGTTCCGCGGTAAAGACGAATAGTTTCCATGAGTTTTTCAATGAGCAGCAAGAAATGGTTCTCAACCTCTGAATTTTGTATGGTCCGTTCGGGCAAATATTCACAATATTTTCCCCTGCACAAAGGTGCACTTTTCTCGGGGTGGGGGTACTTCTTATTCCGAAATCTGAAAAAAACGCGTAAATCGACGTTTCAAGGCGCATCTTCGTACGGAGATTTTTTTTTTTTCGTCCTTCGCTCGATATGTTCAGATATTCAAGAAATCTTGCTTACTTTCTGGAGGGCGGTGTTTTTTGCAGACACAAAATCTGAGACCGGATTTGGACAGCTCTCGTGATTTGCCACCGATGATTTTTTTCCGATTTCCAATTTGACAAAAAATAACGGAGTTATGGGCAAAAAAACGGATATTGGAGGGTATTTTGCTTAGTTTCTTGGGGACAATCCAACCGTACGATTCAAAAATAAAGTGCTGCAATCGATTCCTCTCGTGATTTCCCACCGATGATTTTTTTCCGATTTCAAGAAAAACTCGGGTTTCGGAGATAGTTCGGGTGGTTTCACACGCCCTCGGGGAATTTTTTCCCGCCACAAACACACCAGAGGACACACACACACACCCTTTACGCACGCACGCAACGAAAGACGCACACGCGCTCCGGGCACATGGGTCGCCCAAAGGGTAAGCGCAAGCTGCCAAGGAACGCCGACGGCACGATTCGGAAGGCCCCTTCGCCCCCTGCGGACCCTGCTGTAGGCAACGACTCTCCTCCCTCTTCCGACCATGAAGGCGCCAATATTTCTCCCATGCACACCAACGACCACGACGACGACTGGCCCCACCGCCGTTCTCATCGGCCTGCCGAAAGGAGGAAAGCAGCTGCTCATGGACATGGGGCTGTGGGAAGGCGAGCCAACCCTACGCGTTTACGAGTGCAGCGCGTGCAGGGCGGAAAAGGCGGCAACAAGGCAAGCCATTACCGCCTTCAACCGCGGTGGAGAGGGGCGGCAGCAGGTGGTGGACAACACGGGGCAGGGAGAGGAGGACGGCGGAGAGGACGGGGACTCGGGTGGGAGCGGGGCAGCGGGTGAAGCAGGCAAGAGGCGTCGCTGCTGCGTCGTGCGTGTTCTGTCTGAGCTCAAGGCGTTCAGGGAGGAGCTCAACATGGTTGAGAAGCTCTTCAAGGCACACGGGCACCTGTGCATCTTCTTGCCGAAGTACCACCCAGAGCTCAACGCAATCGAGCGATACTGGGGGTACATCAAGCACCTCCTCCGCCTCCACTGCGAGTATTCCCTTCGCCACATGCTCCAGGTCTTGCCCGGCGCGTTGAGCGGCGTACCCGCACGGTTTATCCGCGCATGGAGCAGGGTGACGTGGCTGTACATCGAAGCCTACGACGAGGGCCTGGAGGACTACCTCGAGTACCGCGATCTCAAGGAGTGGGGGAAGCACCGAGAAACCGCCGCCAGGGGAGATGCCGTGATTCAGGCGAGGGGGGCCGGGAAGACGCCGGAGCAGAAGAAGGCAGCCGAGGCGAAGGCGCTTGCGGCTGCGCAGGAAGTGCGCAAGAAGTCGATGGCAGCGACCAGGCAAGCCTTCAACACGTGGACGAGCAAGAGAGCCTCCCGGAAGGAGCAGCTACGGCTGTGGATTTTGCGCAACACGATGAATTTTTTGAGGAAATGGTTGGGCGGGCACGCTCAGGCGTGAGTGGGGAGGGTACGTATCTATATGTCGCGGTGTGTTGTAGTGTTGGTTTCTCGCGTTTAGGCGCGGTAGAGGCGTTCGTCATGGTCACCAACTCAACGCTATAGCTGTCTCTCTTGGTATCGGACTTGCTTAGAGAGAACGGATGTGATTGCTGCATGCTTTGTTTGCAGCACCTTCACCAGCCAGGGGTTGAGTAGAAAGTAAACGGCGGTATTGTATGTATGTCTGTACATATGTAACGTGCAAATAATGTAAATATGGATTGACAACGGTTTAACTGATGTTCTGAAGGCATAAACGTGTAGAAGGGAGGGGTTGAGGGGGGCTCGTGGTGTACATTGGGCTCCGTGGGGTCATGAGGGGGTGGGGGGATGGGGGCTCCGTGGGTCATTTTGGTCAAAATTATCGCATTTCACCCAATCACCAAAAAATCATCGGATATCGACGAAGAAGCTCGACGCCGCGGTCACGCCCAAAATCGTTTTTTTTCGAAAGATATCGCGAAAAACAAGATTGTGAATATTTGCCCGAACGGACCATACTATGCTACGAGTACCCCCAATATGTCTAATAGCCCCCCTGCTCATACGCATCGTCAAGCTTCGGCAAAAACCAAATTCCTCTTTTACCATCTCTCCAAAACAAACAAGAATAATCCCAACACAACCAAACTCCTCCAAAACAACCGAGAAAAATCCTCACAAAACTTCATCACCGTTACAACCTTCATCAGACTCTCTCCTTCTGTTGTCCAATGTCGTCGGTCTCTTTCTCCGCTACAGAATACAAATCGACCCCAAAATACTTCGTTCACCGCAAGTTCATCACAAAGTCACGGTGCAACGCAAAAGACTCCTTGCAAATAGCCTTCGTCAAGAAATCTGCATGCTGAAATTGCGTCGGCACATGAGTAATTAAGATCTCCTTCCTCTCTACCAGCTCCCTGATAAAGTGATGCCGTACATCGATGTGCTTTAAGTTGGAGTTCGTGATCGGGTTGTGCGCAATCTGAATCGTTCCCTGATTATCCCCGAACACCGGGATGCACGGCATACCTGCAACTGGCAACATAAAACGCTACACCTGCCTCAGGAACAACACTTCCTTCAACACATCGGCAATTGCCACATACGCTGCTTCCGTGGTGGCAAGCGTAACGCACTTCTGCGTCCTCGAAAACCAAGAACACACCCTATCCCACACGTCACTAGCCCTCCTGACACCGATCTACGGTCTGTCGCTTTGCTTGCATAGTCGGCATCCACAAACACCTGCATGCTCATCACAGTCACCACTCCCCTCTCAAATGTCATCCCCATCCAACTCGTCCTCCGTACGTACCCTAAAATACAGAGTGTTGCCTTCCAGTGCACCATCTTGGGAGATGTACAATACCGCGCTACTGCTCGAACTGCGTTCGCGATGTCCGGCCTTGTTTGAGTGGCCAACAACATCAGAGATCCTACCAACTCGCGAAAAGGGCCATCAGCGCACGCTTCGTTCTCGTCAAAGTCGGTGAGCTTCACGCTCACGGGCAAGGGCACGCTCCTCCCCCACTCAATGCCGTGCTCTGCAGCCAACTCTTCGGCAAACCTCCGCTGCGAAATCCTCCACAGCCCTCTCTCTACGTCTCTCTCGTAAAAGCACGCGGAGTACCACCTCAACTCTCCAAGTTCTTCACGGGGACCATCTCGTTGAGATTCCTGCCAAACTGGTCAAACCTCTGCTTCTGCCCTACGGAAAAAATGTCATCCACGTGGACCACGATGATCATGATCACACGTCCCTCCTCCACTAATCGAAAAACATAATGTATCTGCCAGACACTGGAAAAAAAAAAGAAGTAACAAACACCTCGTCAGGTGCGCATGCCAATGGCGTGATGCCTGCTTCAAACCATACAGACTCTTGCACAGCTTCACGATCAGGCCAGATAACCTACCACACCCCTGCGGTAAGAACATGAAAACATCCTCACCAAGCTCAGACTGCACAAAAGCCTGCTGAGCATCGAAATGGCACAAGTCCAGATTCTGCTCACATGCTAATGCTGCTAACAAGCGCACACAAGACACCGGAACGGTGGGTGCAAACAGTTCTCCAAAATCAATCGAAGCCCTCTGTATGTCCCCCCGCGCTACAAGTCTTGCCTTGAAATTCGTCGACCATCCGTACTCGGCTGCTTTACAGTCAACGAACCACTTGGCATTGATGGCGTTCTCTACTGGTTGCTACACCGGCCTAAATGTTCCTGCATCCAACAAACCGAAAAATTCTCTCTCGACTGCATCATTCCACAACTCTGAATGTTTAGACCGCATGGCCTCCTTGAATGTGATCGGCACGCGGAGGTCGCTGGCGAGGCAGTGAGAAAGGTCTGGCATCTTGTCGGGCGGGCGCTCGGCGCGAAGAGCGGCGTCCACATCNACTCGGATCCGGCTGCGGCGGGGTCGGTAGGTCGCGGCGTCCTTGATCCACGGCCTACCGCGTGACGAGCGACGAGATGAGGGAGTCCTTGTCCATTATCGCTAACGGACCAAGAAGGTAGTGGAGAGCGGTGCCGCCACCGGGTGGCGACGGCGGTTGATGTTGCTCATCCATGAACCACACTCCATCTTCGCGCGTGCGGCCGTGTACCCTCGTGTCCTTTCGTCCCAACTCCTTCACGGCTCGTTTCGAAAGCGGCGGGTGCGGGGAAGCGGGGGTGGCGGTGCTGGTGGGCTGCGGCGGCGGCGGCGGCAGGCTCGGGGGCGAACGGGGCGGCGTTGCTGCGGTCGACGGTGTGACTGATGATGGGGAGACGGAGATCGGCGACGGGGCTGAGGATCCTGTGAAGATCGGCGGGGAAGCGGGCGGCGGCGGTGCGGTGGTCGCTGGTGCAGGCGGGATGTAGGTTGTTGTTGTTTGTTGTTGTTGTTTCTCACATTAGCTCTATAGTCCACAAAAAATGGGGA